CAATAAAAAAACATATTGACCGCTAACGATGCTAACAGGGCATCAGTTCTAGTTGTTATTTTCTTTTGACCTTTTTTTTGTTTGAATATAAAACATACTGACCGCTAATAATGCTAATGATGCTAACGATGCTAACGATGCTAACAGGGCATCAGATCTAGTTGTTATTTTCTTTTGACCTTTTTTTTGTTCAAATATAAAACATACTGACCGCTAATGATGCTAACGATGCTAACAAGGCATCAGTTCTAGTTATTTTCTTTTGACCTTTTTTTTGTTCAAATATAAAACATACTGACCGCTAATGATGCTAACGATGCTAACAAGGCATCAGTTCTAGTTATTTTCTTTTGACCTTTTTTTTGTTCGAATACAAAACATACTGACCGCTAATAATGCTAAAGATGCTAACAGGGCATCATATCTAGTTGTTTTTTCCTTTTGAGCTTAAACGTGCTGACCTCTAATGATGCTAACAGGAGGACCTCTAATGATGCTAACAGGAGGGTCAGATCTGTTTTTCTTCTGTCTCAGCTTTTATTATTTTTTAAATAACAAAACAAGCTAACTACTAACGATGCTAATGGGGGGGGGGGGGTCCCTCTCAGCTTCTTTAAAAAAGTTTTAAAAAGGTGCTGGTATTGGTTACCCGTGGGCGTCTGGCAGTCCCTCCAGTCAAAYTATCCGGCGTAGATGCCGGGTTCCAGGGAGCCGGCGATCGGGTCGGCCCGTCTCTCGATGTAGGCCTCGAACAGCTTCATGTCCAGCTCCCGCACCAGGTCCACGCTCACCTGCAGGAGCAGGAAATACTCCAAAATTAAAACAACATACATCTGTTTTTGTTTGCATGTGCTGAAATATGATCTCTCTGAGCAAAATTTAAGTTTTATGGGTAAAATCTGTCTGTCTGGTAAATAAAAAGAACAAATTTCAAATCATTTTAAACGGAGAACTACTGGTGTTATAATTTAAAATATATCATATCTTTGGTTAGAGTTATAAAAAGTTAATGTGTCAGACTGATTATGACTGGTGTTTTCTGAGTATTTTCTGTTTAACGGGGGATTTACGGCTGTTTAAACCTCTTCTATCTATAATTTCATCTGACGAGTCTGATGTTAACAGTTTTTACAGGAAAACCAAGCGAACACCTAATGTCTTTGTGATTCAGTCGTTACTCATCACATCTGCAGGCCTCAGATTGTGGAACTGAGCTTTGAAGACGATGACATTTAGCTTGCTTTTTTAAATTGAGTCATCTCTCTGCTGAGAACAGAGCTGCTCTGTGATCGCTGGTCCTGAACCTCAGCCTCTGTCTGCTGCTGAAACACACCCGAGTGATCTTCTCCGTCGCRGTGAAGCCGTGCTTCTCAAAGTGATCGGCCAGGTTCAGGAAGGTGTGTCTCTCCAGGTACTGACAGTTACTGAGGACGATGAGGAGACGCTGCTCCTGGAAGACAAAGAACACATAAAACAAAAACACACACAAAAAAATATATATATTAAAAATCTGGTTTAAATTTCCAAAATCTGATTTTAAGATTTGATAAAAGTGAAATAAGTTAGAAACAGGACAGAAATGAGGACAGACAGATGGACAGATGAGGACAAAAACATCAGGACAAACTGATGAGATCCTGATCTGTGGTGGGAACAAGTGGAAGAGAACTTGGACAGGGGGAGGTGTGGACGGGGACATTCATGAAGACAGCAGGACATGTGTGAGGACAGCAGGACATGTATGAAGACAGCAGGACATGTATGAGGACAGCAGGACATGTATGAYGACAGCAGGACARMRATGAYGACAGCAGGACARGTATGAYGACAGCAGGACATGTATGAAGACAGCAGGACATMRATGAYGACAGCAGGACATGTATGAYGACAGCAGGACARGTATGAYGACAGCAGGACATGTATGAGGACAGCAGGACATGTATGAAGACAGCAGGACATMRATGAAGACAGCAGGACARGTATGAYGACAGCAGGACATGTATGAAGACAGCAGGACATGTATGAGGACAGCAGGACATGTATGAGGACAGCAGGACATGTATGAGGACAGCAGGACACGTATGAGGACAGCAGGACATGTATGAGGACAGCAGGACATGTATGAGGACAGCAGGTGGAAGAGAACTTGGACAGGTGGCGGTGTTATAACGAACATGAACTGTGACGGCCAGACTAATGATTGGCTGTTAGCTTAGCGGTTAGCTAACCCTGTTCGGCTGCAGACACGTGAACCTGCAGCTGTTTGAAGCAGACACTCAGAGCTGGTGAACTGGTGACATCTCTGTTTCTAACACACCGTGAGTGAAATCAGTTCTGACGCCGGTCAGACGCCGAGCAGAGCTGCCAGAGTCCCGCCGCTCACGCTCAGGGAGGGGAAACCCCATCTGCACCTCGCTCCACTTCCCTTTACCAGAAAACAGCCTGAACCCTGCTCCTCGCTGCTGTAACCCCCACCCAACTCGCCAACATCTCTAACAAGTTACAGGAAACGAGGACGTATCTGCTGCTCGTCCACAACCAGGAAACAGCCTGATATTCTGTGGTTGCAGAGAGAGAGAGACCGTGCGGTGGAAGTAAAGCTTACAGGTGTCGGGCTGAAGCCTTCGTGGACGACAGAGAATCGATCCGGTGAAGACAGGTCTGCTGAGACGGAGCTGCGTGGACAAAAAAAGACGTGTCCTTAGAATCTGTACAGGCAATAAAACAGGAAGAAACGAGTTTAAAAACTCACCGAGGCGCATCGAAGTGTCCGTCTGTGTTTGTGCTCAGACGCTCCAAACACTTTATGAAAGTCTGAGAGTCAAAAAAATAAATTAAACTTCTGATCTGCAACACAAACTGAAATTTAAACTCTTAGAATATACAAAGTAACGTTTGTACACATTAAAAAAAGGAATAAAAATAAATCAGGAGAGTCAAAATTAATAAAACTTAAAATTCTACTCAGTTCAGCTGAGTTGTATAGTTGTGTGTGTGTGTGTGTGTGTGTGTGTGTGTGTGTGTGTGTGTGTGTGTGTGTGTGTGTGTGTTTGGTGTTAGGTTCAGGCCATAGAGACAACTGGAAAATTAATGAAGGCAAAGTCCAGTGGTGGGAACAGTTCCGCTAATCCGCTAACAGCAGCACTAGCTTCTAATTTAGTTGATTAGCTTTTATGCTAACTTTGGAAATCATTAGCTAAGCAATAAGCTTCTGCTGAAATAGAATAGAATAGAATAGAATAGCCTTTATTGTCTCGCCAAGGGGAAATTCATGTGTCAAAGCAGCATCAWTACAGAGGTTCACATGCTAGTTTACGAACTATAGAAAATGCACAAAAAACAAAATTACCACTAACTAGCAATGATACGACTACTAACAGAAAAAATAATATATTATAACATAGCATAACATAACATAACATAGCATAAAACACAGCATAACATAACATAAAACATAGCATAGCATATCATAGCATAACATAACATAGCATAGCATAGCATAGCATACCATAACATAAAACATAGCATAGCATAGCATAACATAACATAGCATAGCATAGCATAGCATACCATAACATAAAACATAGCATAGCATAGCATAACATAACATAGGCTGTGTCCAAAACGACAGACCGGGTCCTCCAGAGGACCCAGACTCCCCGATCTCGGCGGGCCGGGTCCTTGGTAGACCGGGAAGACCGGAAAAAAAGAGGCTGTGGATTTGGACGGTCTAGCCTCCCCTCCTTACCCCGGCGTACGTCTTGTCACCTAGCAACTGTGACGACGCTAAACAAGCAAACTTAAATCAAAACTAGAAAAATATCAATACATTAGCATTATTAATATCACAAAACTATAAAATTAACTTAAAGGTAACATTAGAAGAACTAATTGACCCGCTGTAGGTTCATGTTTATTTCGCGTTTTTTATGACGAAGAAATAATATGTAAAAACATGTCCATACAAATGATAAAAGTATTAGAATTACAACCGCTAATTTTTTAAAATTTTTATATCACCATATTTTTATTTAAAACGTATTCTTTTCTCTCGCTTCGTCCGCCATTACTAGCTTAAAAAAATCTCCGGTCGGGCCGCAATGCATTATGGGATATGCTGGGCCGGGAAGGATCCATCGGACCTGTCCTTCGATTCGGGGAAAAAGAAGGACGTATTTGTCGGACGCATCAGAGGAGTCTTCCGTTTTGGACGTCCTTCGTCGCGGCGCTGTGACGTATGCGGCCGACAAATTTGACCTTCAGAGGACCCGTCCTGCCGTTTTGGACACAGCCATAGCATAACATAGCATAGCATAGCATAACATAACAACATAGCATAGCATAAAACAGCATAGTATTGCATAGCATAGCATAACATAACATAGCATAACATAGCATAGCATAGCATAACATAACAACATAGCATAACATAAAACAGCATAGTATTGCATAACATAACATAACATAGCATAGCATAGCATAAAACACAAAATAGCATAGCATAGCATAACATAGCATAGCATAGCATAAAAGATTGTGCAGGAACAAAAAGACATGAGTTGTTTTAGAGACTGTAGTTACCTATCAGAATTTGACATTAGTAATTAGAATTTGCCTATTTTCAGTGCAAAACGATCACAACAGACTTTTAACTTGAAGAATCAGAGTGCAGACAAGAAACACAGATGTGCAATTACAGCAGAAATCTTATTTTAAAGTTTAAAATGGGTAATAACAGAGCAAATGATTGCTCAGATGAGTAATAATATAAATGAGTAGTGGTGCAAATGATTTTTCAGGTGAGTACTGACAATGAATAACAACAGTACAAATGATTGTGCGAGCAGCAGCAGGTTTGTAAACACTTATTGTGACTTTTGGACGAGGTGCTGTTTATAGAGTCTGACAGCTGCTGGAAGGAAGGATCTGTGATAACGCTCCTTTGTGCACCTCGGATCCAGCAGGTTCCACTCATTTTAAATCCACTAAAAATTATTCTATTTTTTTGCCGTTTATCCTAAATTAAATAAAAATTGTCCACTTTTACAACCACTGCTTGACATGTCAAGCACTGTGTGTGTTAGCATGTAGCATCTTTAGCAGCTAAACTTAAAAAAATTTATTTAGCGATATATATATAACTAAGGAAAACAATAACTGACTATATGGTACAGAAAGTATTTGTTATTTAACTTCGAACAGTATTTATAAAAATACAAACTTGATCACAGAAAAGCTTTTATTCTGAAAGGGTTAAATTGGAAGTATCACAAGTTATATCTCTATATTAGCGGTTTAGTGTTTGTGGAGCTAAGATTTTTGTTTATCAGAGAAGTGGTGGTTTTTAGAGATCCTTACCTTCATGATGCTCACACTGAGAACTGCAGCCTGGTCCTGGACCTGGTCTAACTGCAGCACCTGAAACAGACGGAGTAAAACCTCAGCCTCAGGGAAGTCTTTGTTTTTTTGTTTTTACCCGTTTCTTCATTCTGGGTCGCTGCGAGCTGGAGTCCATGTCCATCGTGAGACACTTTAGACAGGGACACAGAGACAAACAGGAAACCATAGAACCTGGAGAAAACCCACAGCTGCACAGGGAGAATATTTAAACTCTACCTACAAAGTGGGCAACTACTCATCACCACATTACGTCTTTAAATAAGTCTTAACTTACGTTCATTTCTCCAGGTTTGATTTCCAGAGGCTCTCTGAGCGACTGCAGCATCTGAACCAGGCACTGTTCGAACTTAGCCGGCTGACAAAAAAAAAAACCACAAGATTAAAAACAAGGAACAAGTGTTAATGTGTAAAAGTCCTACAGCTGTGACCTCATCGCATTTATTATCCTTCAGCGAGACACACAAACCAAAATACATTTGGGCTGCCGTAGTATCATGATATTTCATGATACTACGGCAGCCCAGAAGGGTCAACACAACAAAAAGCCACAACGCAACTCCAATTTAGCAAGTTTTCAAATGACTTRCCCCCCCAAATAGCAACAACTCCCTGAAAACATTCTACAGGAAGAACAGGAAGTTCAGAAGAATCCCGGACGAGCCCCAAAGTGACAATTTGTTCTTAAACACAATTCAAGCAGCRACAGAGCAAAGCTGTGTCTCAAAAAAAACAGTCGCTCGACTTGCTACTAGTTTCTTTTGTGGAAGAAACACCTTTTGTGTATTTTGTTATGTGCTGTCTTTTGTTGTTATGTGGTGTCTATTGTTGTTATGTGGTGTCTATTGTTGTTGTGTGGTGTCTATTGTTGTTGTGTCTTTTGCTGTTATGTTGTGTCTATTGTTGTTATGTGGTGTCTATTGTTGTGTCTATTGTCGTTATGTGGTGTCTATTGTTATGTTGTGTCTATTGTATCTTTGTTATGTTGTGCCTATTGTGTCTTGTTATGTTGTGTCTATTGTTGTTGTGTTTTTTGTTAAATTGTGTCTACTGTTGTGTATTTTGTTATGTTGTGTCTATTGTTGTCTCTTTTGTTATGTGGTGTCTATTGTTTTTGTGTCTTCTGATGTTATGTTGTGTCTATTGTTAGGTTGTGTTTTTTGCCGTTATGTTGTGTCTATTGTTAGGTCTTTTGTTATGTTGTGTCAATTGTTGTGTCTATTGTTGTTATGTGGTGTCTATTGTTTTATTGTGTCTATTGTTGTTGTCTTTTGCTGTTATTTTGTGTCTATTGTTATGGTGTGTGTCTATTGTGTCTTTTGTTAAGTTGTGTCTACTGTTGTGCATTTTGTTAAGTTGTGTCTACTGTTGTGCATTTTGTTATGTTGTGTCTACTGTTGTCTCTTTTGTTATGTTGTGTCTATTGTTGTCTCTTTTGTTARGTTGTGTCTATTGTTGTTGTGTTTTTGCAGCTAGGTTGTGTCTTCTGTTTCTGTGTCTTTTGCTGTTGTGTTTTATCTTTTGTTTTTGTTGTTTTTGTTTTTTCGTTATTGTTGTGTCTTTTACATCTTGTTGACCATTCCGGGCCTCCGTATAATATGGCACCAATTATGATTATTAAATGTTTCACTTTGTCAGAGATCAGCTCAACTCTGCAGCAGAAATAAAGTTTTCCAGAATAACAACTTTGCTTCCAGCCAAACAAACAAACAAACAAACAAACAAACAAACAAACAAACAAACAAACAAACAAACAAACAAACAAAACAAACAAACAAAACAAACAAACAACACTGAGCTGAACCTGCTGTGAATTATTTTACAGGAAACACTCTGTCCTCACCAGGCTGGTGATTCCCTCGTTATCTACGAGCCAATCTTCCTTCTCAGCYAGCCTCTTCACATCTGAACGTAAAACAAAACAGAAACGACTCAGAACACTTTACTGAACTCTAACCTTCAGACGACAACACAAAATACAAACAAGTTCACAAGAAAAAACCCACGATATAAAATCTGATTTTCTACACAGACCACAGATGTGTGTGTGTGTGTAGAAGTGTAAATAAGTGTGAGTAAAGGGGGGGCGGGGGTGTGAGGACTTCAGTGAAAACCAGTTACTCTTCTCTAAATGACCACACCAAACCACAAGTGAAACTGAAAAAAATAAAAATAAAATAAAAACTGAACATGTCAGGTTTTGGTCTCATAACACTTTCACCTGCAGAACTCTGAATGAGATGTTTAAATACAACTAATGTAGAGGAGYAGCAGAGCTCACCTGTGGGACTCTGGAGGACCAGGGGTCAGATTTATAAAGCTTAGGTACGCACAAAACGAGCCCAGAAAATTGCATACTCCACTTTTCACGCAAAGGTTGTGATTTATAAAA